CAGTCAAGTTAAAAAGCAGTTGCATGAGTGGACTCTTAGAGCATCACTCTGAAAGTGCTGTGTGTTCTGGTTTTCTCTGATGCATTTTACATAGAAGTTTATGAACCAAACTTTGTTTACTGCAGCCTTGTTACTGTGCATTTGCACTTGATGTTTGTTTTGGCATGCATTTGGAAGACCTGTCTTCACTGCTTCATTACTTCATCCCAACTTCATACCCATACGAAGTTTAGCCAGGGCAAGTACTGGATTCTGCACCTGGGGTGAACAGCCCTGGTTGTGTGTATAGACCAAGGGATGAGATGCTGCAGAGCACAAAGGAACCTGGGGGTCCTGGTCATGGCAAGCTGGACACAAGCCAGCAGTGCCCTGGCAGCCAGGAGAGCCAGCCCTGTCCTGGGACACAGGCCCAGCATGGCCAGCCAGGCAAGGGAGAGATTGTCCTGCTCTGCTCTGGGCTGCGGCAGCCTCACCTCCAGTGCTGGGGCAGTTTTGGGTGCCACAGTGTAAGAAAGACTATTACTATTAGACTATTATTCATGAACTATTAGAGAGTGTCCAGAGGAGGGCCATGAGGATGGTGGAGGGGAAGCCATATGAGGAGCAACTGAGGTATCTTGGTGTGCTCAGCCTGGAGGAGACTGAGGGGAAACTCACTGCAGTTACACCTTCCTCGTGAGGGGAAAAGCAGGGGCAGGCACTGATCTCTTTTCTGTGGTGCCCTGTGACAGGACCCAAGCGAATGGCCTGAAGTTGCATCAGGGGATGTTTAGGTTGGATATCAGGAAAAGGTTCTTCATCCAGGGAGGGGTCAGACACTGGAACAGGCTGCCCAGGGCAGTGGGCACAGCACCAAGCCTGACAGAGTTCAAGAAGCATTTGGACAATACTCTCAGGCACATGGGGTGATTCTTGGGGTGTCCTGTGCAGGACAGGAGTTGGACTTTGATGACCCTTGTTGGTCCCTTCCAACTCAGCATAATCTATGATGCTGTCATTCTTATCTAATAAATTATCAGAAGAGCAGAGCCAGATTGTTAAAATTAAAAAGTTTGCATTTAAGTTTCAGGGCTGCTGACACAGAAGCTATTAAGTCAGCACCATGACAGCAGTAACTATCAACCTGTGGAAGGAGGAAGCTTTAAAAGCTGCAGAATACAGACTACACCAAGAGTGAATTCAGATGCAAACTAACTTCTCTCTTTTTTTTGGGAAAGAGAGCTACCAAGACCCTCTGTTCGGTGGTTTACATAGGGATCCCCCAAAAGAGTTTTTGTAGTTTGCCAAATGATCATGTGCCTTTGCAACCTTAAAAAGTACAACAGAATGTAAACCAGGTGCTTTGTAACTAGAGCAGTGTCTTTGGTTTACATCTGCTGCAGTAGTTTTGTATATAGCTATCCCTGTAGGTAGGTAGTTTGGAGTTGTAAAGGAGCAGGGAGGGCAGAGAGCATTCCCCTAAATACCTGTTAGCCTTTCAAAGCTAAGAATTAAAGGATACTGAATTTAGTTACAGTAAACCTGCTGCTTGAAATCTGCTCTATCAACAGGTAATGAGGTTCTTTTAACTAAAAAATAAGTAAGCCCTCCTTCCCCTCCAAAGACACAGAGATCTTGTTAAAGAAAGCTCCAAAGAGGCCCAAAGCTACACTCTTACAGTATCTTGGAATGAGATGGTAGATGGAGAATGAGAGCTAGATGAGGAGAAACTGGTGGCTAGCTTTCACGTAATCAAGGCTCACATGTATCACACCATACAGTTAGTTCCTTGTCCCAGAAAATGCAGTAAGTTTTGTTTCTGGAATGTGACCAGCTTTCCTCACTGCTTCCCTGGGCCTCTTGCAGTTGCTGTTCAGTGATCACATCCCGTTATTGCACACGAACTGTGGGAGATGGTAGGTGTCTTGTCAGCTGAGGGACAGCCAGTGGGTGTGAATTTGATTTGTTCAAATTTCACACTGGTTACATAGACTTCTGGCAGTACCTACATATCAGTGTCATATTTAACCTTCTTGTCCATGAAGGACAGAATAATGGGTTTGGATATTAATGCTTTTTCAGATCTTTTCCTTTTCTTCCTTGGGGCGGGACTTTTGGTGTAATTGTAACTTACAAAGTTACAATTACTACGTGCACAGTTCATATGAGTTATCAGACCAATTTTAATTTGGGTTTGTTCCTTTTAAAAAACAAACAGTAAAAATGTTCTACTTATGTTCCAGGAACTATCTGGAATCCTTCTACCTACCCCAAATTCTGCACTGAAAGTACATGTGATGGTTATTTTGTCGTGGTTTTTTTGGGGTTTTGTTTTTTTGTTTTTTTTTTTTAGGTGGGGGAGGTGGTTGTTTTAGGTTTGGCAGGGAGGATGTGGTTTTTGGGTTTTTCGTTTTGGTTTTTTTTTGTTTAGGAACTTCTAAACTACCTAGTATTTGCTTCATAGCATCCAGCAGCAGTGTGTTCAGCTCACCCAGCCTCCTCAAGAGCCAACAGTGGCCTGTCCAGTCATTTTGTCTAGTTTGTCATGTCTGCAGCAGCTGTACCTTAGAATAAGCCTAGTGTGATATTTACTTTTGAGCAAGTAGACCACAAAAATAACTGTTTTGTTGTTTATTTGGGTTTGAAAGATGGTCAGGTTTTGTTTTGGTAAGTGTCATTCTGTGTTGCATTTGTATATTCACCTTTGTTGAAGAGAAAATCCATCTGTGTGTTTGAGAGTTCAGTGGAATTTTAGGAGAAGAAATGAAGCCCATCACCTGGGCATGGATGTTGGATCTAGGGGGAAAAATGGACCAAACTTGGGTGTTGGGTTATTTGGGGATGGTGGGGGGTTGTAAGGGCATAATTTAAATTAACTCTGTCTAAAATAAAGTGTAAGTGCAATAAATGTGCTTTTTTATTCAAAGCTGTGAACCCTTAGAAAAACAAAAACCACAAAAAAAGTCAACCAAAAAAAAAAGCACATCATTCTTTCATGAGCCTTGTGTCCTACCTGCCTCCCCTTCCTCCCCCTCTCCCCACTTCTCACCTGACAGAAACATGACAGTGGCCAACTTGCATGTGTTGGCAACCCAAATTCAACTGCTGTTTGGGGGAAAGTCCCAAACGGGGAAGTCCTGCCCCCTGCTTCTGTTCCACTCTTGAAATGCTCTTGGGCTCAGTGCTGCCCTGTGCTCTAGAGCAGGGTCTGTCCCTACCTGGGATGCAGGAGCCAGCCCATGTGCTCTGTGCTCATCCTGACTCCCAAGTGCAGAGCTCCTCCTGGCCCTCCCTTCTCCAGGTGGGTGTAATGCAGGCTCTGCTGGGCTGGGCAGTGACTTTGCTGTGCAGCAATTGCAAAAGGATCAGCCATCAGCTGCCTGATGGGACCCCCTCTTCCTGCCCCAACACACACACACGTGCTGGCCACTGCTGCCTTGTGTGACTGCCTTGTTCAGCAGGAGCAGGTGTAGCTGTGTGCAAGCTGTTGTGCATTACTTGCACTGTCTCTCTTTCTTACTTGAGCACAGGCTGCTTTTCCTAGATTAGGAAAGGGGCACAGGTCTCCCGGGCTGCCCAGGGGAGCCCCAGGCATTGAGCAGTGGTGGAAGGGGTAGCACTCACTGGTTGGACCCTCTGGGGGAGTAAGAGAGGACTGGCTTGTTTAAAGTGTATAGATACCCAGATCTATATCCTTTAAACTTTATTATTTTTATATATAGTTGAGACAATGGCATTACCTCATAATACAGAGGCTTGTTTATGAGAGGCAAAGTACATAGTAAGGAGAGGAAAGGGAAATTTATATAGAGATTTAATTTCTTTTGTTTGTTTGTTCCTTAGTGCAATGAAATGTATGTCCCACCACTTTAAATTCTGTGCTAACACATTCCTTTCAGCTATGTTCTTTTTTTTTTTTTGACCACCAGAGGTTTGCAAGGGGCTTATGACTGCAAAGTAGAAGGTCCAGTCTGGTTACTTAAAAAAAAAAAAAAAAAAACAAAAAACAACCCATTGTGTTAGTAGATTTCCATAGCTGCTTTTTAAAATCTACAATGGAGTAATTGTTTCAAAACTTGTATTTATTTTTTAATTCATAACAAAATGTTTATTTTTGGTTTCCTGTTAGGTAGGTCATGGCAACTCCCCTTCGTTCCTTCTCAAGTTTCCCCTGTAATTGCCAATACAACTTATTTTTCTTGTTTGTTCCTTCTCCCTTTACTTTTGTTGTCCCTTCATTTGTACTTTGGAGTTTTTCTCATGTAAATTTGTACAATGGGAAATATTGTCCAGTTTGGTTAGAGAGCATGGAGACTTAAAACATATTAAAATTTGATAGCTGAATTCAGATTGAAGAAAACTATTTCAGTGTAAAGTTATTTAAAGAACTCTGTATTATATGAAAGGCAAAAAGTTCTATGTACTTGATGTGAATATGAGAATACTGCTATAATAAAGATTGACTGCATGGAAAAGTCTGAAGGAGATTGTTTATTGTGTCATGCATGACTCCTCTCCAAAGCTGGAGGGGTGCAACTCAGGTGGTTAAGGGGAGTGAAAAAGTTTAGGATATAACTCTGGAAGGGGAGAAGAATAAAAAATAAAATCAAGGGATTCCTGCAGTGTAACCCTCCCTCCCTTCATCTTAAACTGGATCACTGCCTCCTTGACTGCTGTGCTGAGCCCTAAAGCTTTTTTTTTTTACTATTCTGAACTTTTACATACCATGGGGGAGTTTTCCTTCATCCTGGGAAAAGCCTGGCACCCACTGGTCTGGGTTCTCTTTCTGGGTAAATTCTCCTGTTTCTATGGCAATTTCCCCTCACCTCTTCACTGGTTATTTGGCAGAGCCTTAACTGATAAGACTGTTACCTGCCATGCACTCATGGACCTTGTTTCTTGGGGCAAGCACATTCTCTATCAAGCAGGCATTACAGAAGCTCATGTGTACCATGACTTTAAAGCTGTCATGGTCATTTTCCAAGAATTCTACTTAAAACAGGAAAAAAATACAGTTCAGCTTAGGCTTTGTTTACAGTTTTATTCACATAAGGACCCAGGAGCCAAAGATTTGGTTCCAGGGGCCTCAATTAGTTCCAGGAACCTGAAAATAACAGAAGAAAAACCTGAGAACCGTTTTGCTCATCATTTTCCCACCACGCAGAGCAGAAGAAGAACGTCCTCAATGCTCCCTTCAGCGGTAGTTGGAGCTTTTGGTTTAGAGCTGTAATGTGTGACACAAAAGCTTAAAAAAAGAACTGGAAACAAGCAAAAGCCTAAAACATTTAAGGGGACATCTGGACAGGTGTCTCTAGAAACAGAGCCTGTCTTTGAAGTTAGATAATGCTGAGTCTACACAACAGCATTAACAACATAATTTAGAACCGGAGCCAGGTAAGCTACACCTTATAACAAACTCGGTTGTTACAGTGCAGCCTCATTTTGTCAAAACCGGGTTTCCTGGTCTTAGAGAGCCAAGACACGCGTGTGAAGGCCATAAGCAGTGCGGACACGGCCTCCCGTAGCGCCGAGGCTGGGCGGGTTTGCCCTGGGCAGTGCTGGGAGCAGGCTCCCTGCAGCGGGACCAGCGGGGAGAGGTGACCGGAGCCGTACCGGTGTGCTGCTATTCCTCATCGTCCGGGGGAATGCCGAGCTCCTCGTCCGTCCAGGCCGAAGCGTCGGGATACGGGAAGTGTCCCTGCGAGAGAGGCCCGTCAGAGGTGTCCGACCTG